TAATACATTTTAATTAGCGATAAGAAAGCGAGCGAAAAAATGTAATTAAATTTCTGGAACTGGTAATATACCAATGTACAACGATCTAGGAATTATTTGTATTATACAGGTGACAATTTAAGGGACAAATCATAAAAGTATATATGTTATTCAATAACCACATATGTGTATAGGGTACTTCATTCCATATTTGTTCTGAAATTCCAAATGAAAGAATATAATTATTATATATCATATATAAAAAAAAAAAGAGAAAGAGAAGAAAATAATTGTTTTATTTATTTGTAAATTTTTAACAAATTATATAAACATAATACGAACAATGATATAATAAATATTCTTAAAATTATTTATGATATTTGATCAAATAAGATCATAAGATTTTAATCTATTATTATTTAAATTATTTATTAAATATGTTAAATGAATTAACAATAAATTGCAAAAATATATATTATTTTATATTAATATACGAGAAAAATATTGGCGAGGAATTTTAGAAAAAAATATTTTGGTTTTTGAAAAACCCTATACAATATTATGGTATAGAATTCAACTAGTCATTTATGACACTTTATAATAATTAAAATAAATCTTTTACAAAAAAAGCATGGACATACAGAAAACATGTTTTTCTAAATTATTTAATTAAAAAACGAAAAAAAAATTGAAACTGAATTAAAATTGAACTGTTCACACCTTAAAAAATAAATATTTTGACATTTAATGTAATATTCTTTTTTGATTTCTTATCTATTATAATTCCATATTATGAATGAAATCAAATTATTGATTATTGATTATTGATTATATATTATTATTTCTATTTCTATCTGTCTGCGAATTATTACTTAAACATTATTGACAGTAATCTAAGTCTTGCGCAAGATAATTCTATTCGTATATCTTATATGTATGTCTCGATAAAGGAGAAATTACATATTGTAAGTTCAAGTAGCAGAAAGTCGCAAGAAGCACAACGATAAAATCTATTTGTATCGAACAGTCAAACGAAACAATATTACACATTTCAATGAAAATCTGTGATTTAATGAAGTTCTTATTTTTCCTTCCTTATATTAAGCAAACATATATAAATAAAAATTTCTAGATTGTTTGATAAATTATTGAAAATTTTTTAATATTATCAAATAATATTATTAAAATATTATTAAATGTTGAAAGACAATTTATATCAATGTATTAATTCTAGTTGAATTTTTTCAAATTATAAGATAAATAAATAAATAAATAAGTAAAGTTTGAATTTAAGAATTTGTCTCTGAAAAAAATAGATCTGATTGCTTTATTTTTAATAAAGTATAAATTTCTATAATTATAATAATATATATTATATATAATATATACATATCATTTTTATATGTCATAATTTCTAAATTTTTATATATATATATATATATTTTTATATTTTTTATTTTAAAAGATAATAAAATTAATTTGATATCAGAGCCATCTTTTAGACGTATAAATTTTGCAAAGCAAATAAATATAGACAAGAAATATAAATAGGGAAAAGAACAAAAATAGGATGAAAATTCGAAAATCATCTTCAGAATACTATAAATATAATGATGAGAAGAATAAATAATAGAATTGAAAAATTAGAAATTCAGTAAAAATTATTGAGAGCATCATCTTCAAAATGTCGCAAATGAAATACAAATAAAGAAGAAATAACGAAACAAAAATAAGAATTAAAAATTTGGAAATCAACACCATCATTTGAATATCAGTCATCTATTTAAATAATCATCTTTCTAAAAGGATTCAAAAGATGGCATTGATTTTCAATTCTTATTCTATATATTATCTTACCTTTAAAAAGATATCTTTAGCATTCAAAATGACGTTAATAGCCAATTCTACTTTTATTCTTCTTCAATTATTTCTTTTTTTTTGTTTCCATATTTGAATTTCATTTGCGACATTTTGAAGATTTTCACAATTTTTATTTTTATCTTTGTTTTACTATTTATTTTTCTTATTTTTATTTACTCTTGCTGTAAAATTATATACAAAATATTTTTATTATTTTTTTTCAAAACTTCAATATTTTAATCTTTAATGTAAATAAAGATATAAATATCGATTTTTTTCCAAGATATAGATAAAAAATACATTATATCTCAAAGTACAAAATTTTTTTACGAGATAATATATAATTATATTCATGTATACGTGAATTAATATAATTATATATACAAATGTAATAAATATTAACTATATATTAACTTTTTGTCTTACAATTTAATTAAAAGACATTCACATAAAAAAATACTATTTCAAAACTCCATTTCAAATCAATCAAAATAAAATTATAAAGAAATGAAAATATTCAAAATTTTTTTAAAATATAATAAAATTTATGAATATTTAAAAAAAAAGTTTTCAAAATTCATATGATATCTTTATTATATATACTAAAAATTTAGGAAATTATTCGAAAATTATAAATCATAAAACAAGTAATTAAGAATTTTTTAAATTGTAAATATACATTATATTAATAAATTATTATATTATTATATTATTATATATATATATATATATTTTAATATAAAATCACACACCACAACTTCTAATTTATATACGATATTCATTTATAATCTTTTAACTCTTTATAAAAATACAGATAACACAAAAAGTTATTTTTTTATTATCAAAATTTTATGAAATTTTTAGCTTTCTATAAGCAATAAATTTTAATAAATGTATTTCAGGAATGATATATATAAAATATAAAATTCGTATAACTATATAATTTATCTGAATATATCGAAAGTCACTATGTAAAGATAATTATTATTACGGATAAACATAATATAATAATGTTATATGTTATTAATCGTTAAAAAGAGTATAAGGTTTTTAATAATATTCAAAAAATGATCATTCTTGAAAATATTATTTATTCAAAATGTTTTATATTAAAGCTCCTACAGGACAAATATCATTTCATATTTTAGAAAAGTGCGTTTTGGATAGGTTAGAATATTTACAATTATTATACGAGAATAAAAGTCACGAATTTAATGGTGATTTTGAATATTTATTAGAAAATTCAGCATATGATAAAATCGGACATTTTATATTACGGTAAGTTTTATTTGAATGACTATAATAATTATCAAAGATTTTAATATGTCAATTTACAATATTTTTTTAATTTGATTTATCGATTTTATTGTATCGTATAAATAACTGTTTTAGATTATTAGCATCTATGTCAGGAAAACTATATAATTATTGGATTGCGAAAGAAATATTATTATTTCAAACTAGATTAAATTATATTTTACCTAGATAATTACATAAATTATTTAGAAACATTTTATGTCAATTAGGAGAATTCACAGACAAAAAAAAATTAATTAATAAAACATTAAACAATATATGTATTTTTTTTTTAAAACCACTTGTCTTTAAACATCTTATATCAAAAAATCATACAAAAAATTGTAATCTTTACAAAATTAAAGGTATATATTTGTATCTAAATATGGATATCTAAATCAATTAATTTTTAATAATTTAATTATTTAAAAACTATATTAACTTTTTTTTCAAGTACGATTTGAAATAGTACCAGATTTAATAACAAAACGAAAACTAAATTTGAATGATGGATATGTTACTATATATTGCTCCAAATGGAAAAAATTATTAAAATCATTATTTTGTACTTATATAACCAAGCAAGTAATATATATGAAAACAAAAGCACAATATATAATAAATCAAGATACTAGACTTAATTACTTATATTACAAAATTCATTCTAAAATATTTAAAGAAAACTGTCAAATATCAATAAAATATAGATATATAACTAAAGAAAATATAGATAAAGAAGTAAAAAATTTCCCACTTTGTATGCAACATTTGCATATAAAATTAAGAAAAACACATAGACTTAGTCATTATGCTCGTTTATATTATAGTCTGTTTTTAAAAGATGGTGGAATGCAGTTAGAAGATGCTATAAATTATTGGAAAGAAGAATATTCCAAACCTCATACCTGTTCTTCTACTTGTTCACATAATTGGCAAATGAATGAACAAAAATTTATATACAATATTCGACATTTTTATGGTTTAGAAGGATCCAAAAGAAATTATAAATCACCTACTTGTGAAATGATGTGTGTAAGTAATATTTTCTATATTATGAAATTTTTGTATTTTCAAATTCATCTTTTTCTTATGTTATTAGATGAGTGCATCAAGTCCCATATATGAAGGAGGATGTCCATTTAAAAATTTCGATATAAATATATTAAAAAATCTCTTATGTTTATCATTATCAAATGATCATATAACAAAAGTATTGAACACTCTATCTTCTCAAAATCCTCAAACTGCTTGTGCTGAATTCTTTAAAATATTAAATCAAAGAAGTAAAAATATTATTATTAGTAGTCCTCTACAATATTATTTCAAAATGATAAATCAAATTTAAATATATAAAACATTAACAATTTAGAAATAATAAATATTTTTAATATTTATTTTCCTTAAATCTAATGCAATACAAGTTAAAAATAAAATTTTATTTTCTACATAGATTTAATTAAAAAATTATAAATATCAAAAATTTTTAAGACTATTTTCTACAAGTGTATAATTTACACCATTTTTAACATATATACAAGTAACACCAAGTTTTTCTATATCCTTAATATTTCTATATTCGTCATCAAAAAATATCATATCTTTATAATCAGTTTCTGATATTTTTTGAATCCTAAAAAAAATAAATTATATAAATATTTATCAAATATTGTTATTATAAAAAATGAAAATAAAGTTATCTAGAATAAGAATTAATAATTTTTAATAAAACTTTATTAAAATTTACCTAGAGAAATGAGTTACTTTACTTCCTGGATAAATTTCTTTATATTTGAAATAATTATCCCAGTTAAATAAATTTAATAATTGTTTAGCACCTTGTATTTCTGAAGTACGAGATGCAATACCAAGTTCATATCCTTCTTCATATAAATATTTTAAAACATCGGGTACTTCTTTATAATATTTTATAATTTGACCATGAGAATCTATTACATCATTGCCTTTCCTTAATTTTAAAAAAAAATTTTGATTGAACAATTATAAAATAATGTTAAAAATTATTTCTTTAAAACTTACTTTTTAAAAGGAGGATTAACATGAGTATCAATCCAAAATGGCCATAAAGTATAATCTGAAATATAATTAAATTATATTTATTCTTTCATAAATAAAAAATAAAAATAAATAATATTTTTTTTTAAAGAAATTAATTAAAAATAAAACAAAAAAAATTTTAACCTAAATCAAAGACAATTATTTTCGGTTTATGATTTTTTTCACACATTTTTAATGTATAAAATTCATTATTATCATATTACAATTTTAAATGAATTACTAAATGTTAATATAATAAGAATTTTATAAATTACATATATCTAATATATAATTCTTTTTAATAAAGTATAAAAATTATAATCATATCTACTATGATATCATATCTAGTACTGTTTAATCATATTTATGCTCATAATAAAAAAATGTTATAATATATTAATATGTAAATATGAAAAAAATTATTTTTTATGAAAAGATTAATAGAAATTATTTTATATATAATATAATACTTTATTGTTTCTTTCAAAATTTTAATATTTTCGAAAAAAATTTTATATAATAATTAAATTTTCATGTACATGAAAATCTATTGTTTTTTTAAATGACCAATAATATTAAATTTTTAAATTTCGTTATAACCAATCATAAATGAAATACATATTAAGGCGATTTTCTAATTTATGTAAACCTCAAATTTTTGTTCGTCTCGTTCAGTAGTAGCGTCAATCTCGTTTATCGAGTTTGTAGAATTGTGAAGTGTTGATTAAAGATATATAATTATTAAATTTATCATAAAATTATTATTTTAGATAATAAAAACGTCCGAAGGTATACACGTACGTTATATTTTTTATATAATTAACAGTAATTAATACTAAAAATATTTATATGTCCTAAAAATTACAAATATATAATTTATTACATTGTACATTATTGCTAATAATTTTATATTATTTTTTAAATTATTTTTATTTATTTACATATGTATATCAACATTAAAATATACATAATTATATACATAAATACATAAATATAAATATTATAATTATAATAATTTAAATAGAGAGAATAAAAAGAAAAAGTGAATCATATTATTATATTATATTCATATTGTATCTATAATATTAAAAATAATTTAAATAATATATTATTATTAAATTAGTAATCTTTAGCTATTATGAATGTAATAATTTACGCTTTTAATTTATAATTGTTTTTTGATTAATTTACATATATTATTTTGTATGATAGAATATTTTATTTATTGTTTTTTTTTAATGATGACTATTATTTTTATAATTTTATTTGATTAATTTTAATTTAAATTAAGAAAATATATTTTGCCTTTCATTATAATATTTTTGTTATTATATTATATTAATTATTTTATATATATTTTATATCTTCAATATCTTATATAACTTATATATTTCATATATTGATAATATTAATACATTTATTACAGAAATGTCTGAATCGGATCTTTTAGCTGCTGATCACATTGATGGTCTAGATGGACTTGAAAATGGTCAAGATGGAGATGCCATTATGCAATGTGATGGTGTAAAACGTGAATTAAATGAAGCAAATATTGATGATCCGGTATTTTGTTATAAATAAATATTTGTTATTATATAATTTCCTGATTGTTTTCCTGATTGAAATATAATTTATATTTTTTTTATATAAAATTTTTCTATTGTGTTATAGGAATTAGAAGCTATTAAAGCACGTGTTAGAGAAATGGAAGAAGAAGCAGAAAAATTAAAACAATTACAATCTGAAGTGGACAAACAAATGAATATGGGTAGTCCACCTGGAATAAGTAAGTTGTAGATTATATTAATTTCAATATATAATTAAAAGTTTTATAAAAAAAATTTTCATAATTTTCATAATTTTTTTTAATAAGAAAGTTTATTCTATATTTTCTTAAATTTTTAGCAAGTCCATTAAATATGTCACTTGAAGACAAAATGGAAGTTGATAATAGATCCATTTATGTTGGTAATGTAAGTAAGACTATATTTTATATATATTTATATATATTTTATTTCATTAAGGAATATTATAAATTAATATTCACTTTTTATATAAAAGGTTGATTATGGCGCTACAGCAGAAGAATTAGAACAACATTTTCATGGCTGTGGCAGTGTTAATAGAGTAACAATATTGTGCAATAAATTTGATGGACATCCCAAAGGTTTTGCTTATATAGAATTTGCAGAACGTGATTCTGTACAAACAGCTATGGCTATGGATGAATCTATGTTTAGAGGACGTCAAATTAAAGTAATGCCTAAAAGAACNATATATATTATTTTATATCTACATATATATATTTTTACTTTATTTACATATAATATATTTAAATAATTTATAGGGGACCACGAGGAACACGAGGCTACCGAGGTATAGCCAGAGGAATCATACGTGGTAGTGCATATTTTGGATATAGACCTATAAGGCGACCTAGGTATATTGTAAAATTAAATATCTATTTATATTTTCAATAGTTTCAAATATTTTTTTCAATAATGTTTTTTTCATAGGAGCTACAGACGAGGATATTATATGCCGTATTGACCGTTTTAATATATTGTATTGGAATTTTACAATTGAGGTAAGTTTTTATATTTGTAATTTATGATTTTTTTTGATTATTCAAACATAAAATATCGAATATTATTAAGCATATTAAATTTTTATATATATAATTAATCATATATATTAAACAAAAATATTTCTACTATATTTTATATTTATACTATAAAATTGGGCATTTTTATGTTTGAACAATCAAAATATATATTATATATATATGCATTTATAGGAAAAGCTGGTGAAATAATAAATATTTAGAATAATATTATATTATATTGCAATTATAAATACTAAGATAAATGAAAGAATAAAATAAATATATATAATATTCACTAGCCATTCCTGAATCAATGTATTTTTTCAGTGACAATTATTTTATGTATATATTAGATTTTTTTTTTTTAATATTCTGATGTATCTATATAATCCATCTTATAAATTTATGATGTTAATAATCTAAAATTAAAAATATTAAAAAGAGTATCCATCAATTTTTTACAGTGGATATTACAAAATTTATATCTAGATACATTAGCTTTCTTAGGAAATGCTATATTTTATGCTATACTTCTTAGGAAACATTTGTTTTTATTCTTAATATCTGGCCATATTTTAAATATTATTAAAAAAGAAGGCACTTATATTAACAATATGTTTAGTATAAATATAATTTTGTATTTCAATTGTATTTCAATACTTTAATTTATAACTATAATTATACAATTCTTCTCTAATTGTTCTAGAATATTTTGTTTAATATATTTATTTTATAATACGATTTATTCAATTCATTTATATTATAAAGTATGGCCATGTATGGAACTGTAACACTGAATATTGTAAGTTTTTGTGCATATCTTAATTATAGGTTACACAAAACTTACATATTTCTATGAACACGCATTTCACTATCATGCAGCTAAGGTGTTTAAGTAAATTCTTATGATATGTCCACAGAAAAAAAAACTGATACGATGGGAAAAAAAAGAGAAAGAAAAAACCTCATGTCAAAAGAAAAAAAAAAAGATTGGACAAAGATGGGCACAATTAATCATATTTGATTTAATAAATCTTCATATAAAAATTACAAATGTAGATCAGCGATAATTTGCAATTGCAGTTCAATTATATTTTTTATATAATTTGCAATAACAACCAATCAATTTTATCAGCCTTTATTAATGTCCAAAGATTTTCAATTTGTTTAAAATATAAAAATATATAAAACATTGGCATGTTTAATATATCAAAGTATAAAGAATGCAGTAAATGTGTGAGAGTATGTATATATATATTTACACATTGCAAATTTATATATTATTTTAGCACAGAAATATAATTATTTATACTTTTTGAAAAAATTTAAATTTGTATTTTAAGTTATTTTAAATAAAAAATGTTATTCCTTTGCATATTTAAATAATTATTCAAAACTTATTAGTTCTCTTTTTGTAATTGCTTTTTCAATTCACAATTTCATTTGCATATTAATTTCTCAATAGTTATAATAAACTATTTCCGAAAATATAATTTTTATTTTTTATGGTCAACATATTAGCATTTATAGTAAAATTTATATATTTTCGTTATTATTAAAATTTATTAAAATTTTTATTTAATTCAATATTGTGCATTTAAAATTAAATTTTATCTGCTTGAAACAATATAATATATAAAAAAAGTCATTGATCTTAAATTATATAAACATAATTGTGATTGTAAATAAAAATAAT